GGTCTGGGTTTGGGGTCTTCATTTTCACCTAAAGGTTGCATGGATTCCTGTCTGTGTTTCCTGTCTGCTTTCAGGAACATGGAGTCACATGGAGGCAGGGCTTAAAAGCCTGAATTTTGCCTGAAACTCAGACTGAAGAAGTCTCTTGGAGGAGAGACGAAACGTTTCATTAGAGAAGAACCCGTCCAGAAGACCTATACATTTTTTTTCTTTTTGATTTTTTTTACCTGGATTACTGAGATGCATCAGGACTTATTGTAAAGCGGTACCGAATTTTCTTACTCCATTGGCAGAAATTTTTGACCAAATTTGAGTTAAAATTTTCAGACTAACAAGACAAATAATCTTACACATTCTGAAAACAAGATTATTATTCTTACACAATCAGTTCTTGTTTAGTAAATCAGTCTCAAAACAAACAAAAAAAGACTTTTTGGTTGATATAAGATTTTAAAACTTGGTAAGATGGACAGTTTTTGCAGTGCAATAAAACTTACAGAATAGGCCTGCAGCAGCTGCAGCTGCTGCAGGCCTATTCTGTAAGTTTTATTTTGAAAGGTTCATCATGTTTTGTTTATTTTTGCGCCTAAAAAGTAACAATGACTTTTTATTCTCCTATATGGAGGGGGGGTGGTGGTGTCTGCTGCTGGCTGCCTTCAGGGACCCCCTCCTCCCCTCCACATCTTTAACCGTACCCCTCTTTGTCTCCGGTTCCCTCCCCCTCCTCCTGGCTGTAAACACACCCATTCGTTTGAGCGGAGCAGCAAGGCGGAGGAGCCGCACTCCGGAGCGGAGCAGCGACAGAAGGAGGAGATCCGAACCTCTCTCCCTTCTCCTCCACACCTCCCTCCTACACCTCCCCGGTGGACCCGCGGAGGGATCCGTGCGCCTGGGATTCTGCAGCCTGCATCGTGGCTCTGTCCGGAGCGACATGTCCGTGGGCTCGTGCGGGCACAGCTGAACCCCTGGCTCCACGCGAACAGGTACAAACTGACAGAACAGAAAACAGGAACAAGGCTATGGAAGCTGATTGATGCCATTAATATTATTTTATTGTTGTTGTTTACATGTACGGTTTCTCTCTGCTCTCCTCGGTGTCTTTGTGTCAGATCCATGTTTAAATGAAACCTGGTTCTGTTCAAGGACGTAACTTTAGGTCTACCATTGGGGGGGATATGCTCTCTATTTATTTATCGAGTTGTTTACTTTTGTAAAACCATTCAAGATTTTCAGGAGATAAAATATATTTTAAAGCTTTTTGCTTTGATTTACTTAAATTTCCAGTTTTTTTTTGTATTTACTCTGCACCTTTTCTGTTTCACGTCATTTCATCAGTTAAGAAAAGGCTTGCCCTTCTTTTTTTCCCCATAAATAATAAATATTTGACAATTTTAGGATGTATTATATGACGTACCTACATTCTAAAATTTCCTAATGTATGTATTTACCTGGTGCGCTACAAATTGTCCAGGAAAAAACATACAACACAATCTACACTGCAAAAAATGTCCATCTAACCAAGTTTTAAAATCTTATATCAGCCAAAAAGTCTTTTTGATCTTGTTTTCAGACTGATTTACTAAATAAGAACTGATTGTGTAAGAATAATAATCTTGTTTTCAGAATGTGTAAGATTATTTGTCTTGTTAGTCTGAAAATTTGACTCAAATTAAGTCAAAAATTTCTGCCAACGGAGTAAGACAATTTTACTTGGTAAGATTCTTGAAATAAGAAAAACATGAGTTAAATCAAGTATTTTAATAATC